ATACATATCTGTGAATACATGTCTGACTTTAGGCGTGAAATTGAGTAGAATGAATACACTATAAAGTAAACCTAGCTGATGCTATATAGCTTACTACAGTCATTAATCAGGTATTTTTTAGTATTTTTTTAATTTCAAGAAAAGTAGTTTTAGCTTTAATAAATTGAAGAAATGTTAAGGAAATTTGCTTAAAACTTAAAGCCAGGAAACAGGTTAGGATTCTGTTCCTTGAAATTAAACTCAGGTTTAATTCCATCATGGTCAGAGAAGATGCTGGAAATAGTTTCTATGCCTCTGAATCTGCAGAGGCTTGCTTTGTGTTCCATGATGTGGTCAATCTTCAAGAAAGTTCCATGTTGGGGTGAGAAAAAACTAAATCTTGTGGTTTTTGGGTAGAAAGTTCTATAAATGTCTGTTAAGTCCAATTGATTTATGGTATCATTTAGATCCTTTATCTCTTTACCTATTTTTTGCCTAGATGATCTGTCCAGAGGGGATAATGCGGTGTCGAGATCACCAACAATTAATTAGTGTGTTGCAGTCTAGCTCCCCTTTCAGATCTAACAGTCTTTCCTTCCCATATTTGGGTGCTCCTGTGTTAGGAGCATAGATATTAATAAGCGTTATATCTTCTCGATCTATAGAGCCTTTTACTACGATATGGTGCCCTTCTTTGTCTCTTCGAACAGTTTTTGTTTTAAAGCCTATTTTGTCAGAAATTAGTATCACAACTCCAGCTCTTTTTTGGTTCCCAATTCCATGGAAAACCTTTTTCCAACCCTTTGCTCTCAGTCTATGTATGTCTTTCTCCATGAGGTGAGTTTCCTGGGGCAACAGATAGAGGGTTTCTGTTTTTTTTTTTTTTTTTTTTTTTCCATTCAGCCAGTCTGTGTCTCTTGATTGGAGAATATAATCCATTAACATTCAGTGTTATTATCAATATTTATGGACATGTCTCTATCATTAAATGAGCTATTTTCTTGTTTTTGTTCTCTTATATCCGTCTGTCTGACTTTTTAGTTTTCCTGGTATAGCACTCCCTTCAGAACCTTTTGAAGAACTCGTCTGCTGTTGGTTAATTCTTTCAGGTTTTGTTTTTGTTTATCCAAGAATGTTTTTATCTTTTTTTTTTTTTATATAAAGGATAATTTTGCTGGGTGTAGTATTCTTGGTTGAAATTGTTTTTCATTTAACACTGCCTATATTTCCTCTTTCTTTCCTTGCCTGGCATTGTTTTTTCTCTTTCTTTCTTTCTTTTTTTTTTTTTTGGAGAGGTTTTTGCTATAGGGCGCGTGCGCTCGCCAGACAGACAGAGACAGACATAGAGATAGAAAGCGAGAAATCACCCCCCAGGGGGGATGGTCATGTCGCAATCCCTTCTCCATTCTCCTCTCAGGATCTTGGGCACGCATGCATACGTGCCTGGCGTGAGTTTTAAGCCACTGGGTCCAGGACGCGAACCGTGGTCGACTACGTGGGAGTCCAGCGACATAGCCATTACGCTAACTGTTGGTTCCATCTTTTTTTTTTTTCTTTTTTCTTTTTTTAAGAATTATTCATTTATTTAATTCCATTTGTTTTTATTATTTTTGAATTTTACCAGACGAGACACACAGGAGAGAAAGGGAAAGCGAGAAAGCAATTTGCCATGTCCGGGACTCAAATTATGGTTTGCTATGTGGGAATCCAGCATCTTAACCACCATGCCACCTGCTGGCTCCTTGCCTGCTTTGTTTCTGACAAGATGTCTTATGTAAGCTGGGTGGGATAATCTCTGTAAATTACTTGACGTTTCCCTCTTGCCAATCTTAGTATCTTGTCTTTGTAGTTTCAGCCAATCTGGCTATGATGTGCCTTGGAGTGGATCTTCTTGGATTGATTCTATTTGGGATCCTTTGTATTTCTTAAGTCTGGATATTTGAATGCCTCTCTAGGTTTGGAAAGTTTTCTTCCAGGATTTCATGGAATAAATGATCAATGCCCTTATTTTCTACCTCTTCTGGGATACCAATTATCCAGATGTTTGGGCACTTGATGATATCTAGTATTTCTTGTATAGTATTCTCATTTTTCTTGGTCATTTTTTCAGTCTTTTTGATAATTTTTTTGAGGTCAGAGGTTTTGTCTTCTACATTCAAGATTCAATCTTCTCCATGATCTAATCTACTTTTAACTATTTTGAGGGAGGTTTTAATTTCCTGCATCACATTCTTCATCTCTAACAATTTTGTTTGATTCTTTTATATGGTGTCTATTTCTTTTTTCAAATCGTGAAAGAACTTTCTCATCTCCTGTAGCTCATTGTCTCTCTTCTTTTGCATCTCAATTAGTTTGGTCGCTACAAATATTCTGAATTATTTATCTAGCATTTAACTATTTTGAGGGAGGTTTTAATTTCCTGCATCACATTCTTCATCTCTAACAATTTTGTTTGATTCTTTTATATGGTGTCTATTTCTTTTTTCAAATCGTGAAAGAACTTTCTCATCTCCTGTAGCTCATTGTCTCTCTTCTTTTGCATCTCAATTAGTTTGGTCGCTACAAATATTCTGAATTATTTATCTAGCATTTCCACGAGTTCCGTTTTGTTGTCTGTGGGTGATGAGAAATTGATGTTTTCCCTTGGGGGAGAGACATTTTGTTGGCTGCTCATATTTCTTGTGCCTCTGCAAAGGTTTCTAGTCATCTGGTAATTTAGATACCTAAATTATTTAAGGTATCTCTGAACATTCAAAGGTGTGCAGGAGTAGGAAATTGGCACTCTCTCTTCTGCTCTGCCTCCCTGTTGCTCACCAGCACTGGGCACTGTTGTCACTGGTCCTGGGTGACTCAAAGTCGTTCCTGTTTCTAGAGAACAGGTGTGCCTGAAACCGAGCTGCTGAGCTTCATCTCAGGAACACAGAAGAGATTGCGTGCTACAAAACACTGAAGTCCTGAGAGACCAAAGGCGAGGGGGGAGGGGATGAGCCAAGGGTCCCAGCAGTTAAGTTTTGCAGCTTCAGGCAACCTGCCATTTGGCAAGGCCCTTCACTGGAACGGGTGTCTGGATGGGGCGGAGAGGGGTGCAAGTTTGTCTCAAAGTCCCAAGAAACACACCTGAGAGTCCAAAGGTGAGTGGGGGAGGGGATGAGCCACAGGTCTCAACTGTTAAGCCCTCCAGCTGCAGGCAGCCTGCAAGGCCCTTCTCAGAAACAGGTGTCTGGGTGGGGCCTACCCTTGTAGTTCTTTCCGCCAGGAGCGGAGCGGAGCATGTCTACCCCTGCACAGAGCTTATTTGTCTTGGGCTTGATCACAAAAATCTGAAGTCTTGAATCTCCACTCATAAAATGCAACCCACATAACTCTCAAGAACACTGAGAATTTGCAAAACATTTTCCTACATAGCATAGTTGGGGGTCCTACCAAATTCAGATGTTGAAGTCTTAGTACCTTGGAAGGTGACTTTTGGAAGTAGTGTCCTAGAGTCTGCAGGTGTAACTGGTTAAGATGTGGTCATTAAGGTGGGTCCTGATCCAATATGGGTGGATCCTTACAGAAAGGGGAAATTGAAGCACAGGGACAGAGACACAGGGAAGAGGTCATGGGAAGACTAGAGTTATGACACCATAAGTCAAAGAAGCTGAAGTTTTCCAGCAAACCATCAGAAGCTAGGAGAGAGGCATGGAACAGATTCTCCCCCACTGCCCTCAGAGAACTGCCTCTGCCCTGCCCTGACCACTCCGTGATCTTGGACTTCTAGACTCCAAAACTGTGGGCCAATGAATTTTCATAGGTTTGTGTGTGTGTGTGTGTTTGTTTGTATGTGTGTTTTAATTTGTTTTGTTTTAATTTATTATAGGGCTCATGAACTTGCTGAAGAGACAGTTTTGAAAACAAGACCCCAGAGGGGGATGGCCACACGGCAACTTCTCTCTTCCATTCTCCTCTTGGGATTTGGGCACAGTCACATATGTTGCTGGGCATGTGTGTTTTTAAGGAGACTCTCAGTATCATAGACCTATAGGACTAATTGAAAAAAAAAAAACAACTAGTCTTTTTTTTCCTATCACCCACTTAAAATATACTCGAGGCTTTTGATATATTTAACTTCGTTTTTGTCAACTGCTATACTCATCGTGCAAGATACAGAAAATTCACTTAGCTTGTAGCAAAATGACGCACTGTTGTATAGTGTGTGCAGTGAATATTTTCTGTATTGTGAATTAAGAATTTTACCATATGGGACCAGCAGTTAGCGTAATGGCTATGTCGCTGGACTCCCACATAGTTGACTACAGTTCGAGTCCTGGACCCGGTGGCTTAAACTCACACCGGGCGCATGTGTGCGTGCGCGTGCCCAGGATCCCGAGAGGAGAATGGAGAAGGGATTGCAGTGTGACCATCCTCCCTGGGGGGTGATTTCTCGCTTTCTATCTCTCTGTCTCTCTCTGTCTGTCTGGCGAGCGCACGCGCCCTATAGCAAAAAAAAAAAAAAACAAACCAAAAAAACCTCTCAAAAAAAAATAAAAAAGAGAGAAAGCAAGCCACCAGGTACAGGACTCAAACCCAGGTTGGGCATGCGGGAGTGTCCAGCACCTTAACCACCACACCACCTGCTGGTCCCACATTACCTAGTTGTTTTACGGCCTTATGGATTTAATGAACCAAATGAAAACTGAATCTCCATTCTACATCCCATTCTTTATCTCTAGGTAAGATACAATTTATTCTTAATTTTAAGGTAGAGTTTTACATGCCCATATTTCTTAAGCCACATTTAAGGAAATCGTGCCTTAAGTAACTTCGAGTGTTGTCTCTTCATCTTGTACACAAAACTCCAGCAGGCTTAATCTTGGCATTTATCATCTGGTCAAGTCCTTCACACGTTCTTTAACCAAATCAAATCTGGTATTCACCACATCTTCTGTGTCGATAAAATAAGGTGTGGAATTAGTAGATCCGATGAAGACCTGTTTTGTTTTGTTTTGTTTTCCTTGCCACGCTGGACTCCTAGATGTCATTTGGATTGGGTTTAGAGGATGGGGAAGTATAGCTACTTCTTGGCCTGAGTCTCTTAACAGTAGAGGTGTAGAAGAGAAAGCGAGGTCACAAGGAGACTGGCTGTTGACTGCAGGGCACTGCCAACGGCCTTGGCGGTGGCATTAGCTGGATTGGGGGCAGCCGAGGTATTCTGGGAGGAGTTACTTGGAAGTGTTAGGACAGTTTGATTTGAATAAATCTTCATGGGTAGGAGCAGCCCCAGCCCCAGTCTGGCCACCATCGCTCTGCCTATGTCCGCTCTGTTGGTGCATGGTGTGTCTCGCAGGATACTGGGTGGTTGGAGAACCACTGGCTCCGGGGCAGTCTGTATAGCCAACTCTTAAACCTAGACAGTAGAAAAGCAGATGCCTCATTTTATCATCTTTTTATGTATGCTATAAATATTTCACATTTATTTTTATTTTGGAGGGAGACAAAAGTTCTCTACCTGATTCAATTATCTCCAAGACCCAATGGTCCTTAACCTCCAAATCACAGCTGACTTTAAAGCCTGGGTATCCATAGGCGTACCTATCTCTGGTACCCTCTAATGGGTGGGACGCTATATCATTTCCCCACTGGAGGGGCTCAGGCCAGCTATTCATTTGTTTTTCAATTCACAGATACAATTAACAGTAATGGCATTTTCGACAGTTTTAACCACTCCCACCCCTTCCCCCCAAACGTCATAATCCAAATAGGAAGAATGCAAATGAGACAATAACCTCACTAGTGAAGCATCTCCACAGATGGAGAATGTGTGACAGTTGAGTGTGAGACATCTCTCTGAGTCCATCCGAGCAAGCACTGGTCAAGAGATAAAACTCCGAGATATTCCTCCTATAAAACAGCCCACCTCGCCATCCCGGGGCTGGGGGGGCGGGGATCACACTCCTTAGATACCAATAAGAAACGAAGATTATCCTGAGCATCCTAGCTACCTGTAATAAACAGTGAACACGGCCCCCCACGCTGGGGACAGTGCAATCAGAAGTCAGCCTCGCGGTGATTCACCGTCTCTTCCCAACTCTGTTCAAACCTCAAGGAGGTGAGACTCCCTGCTAAAATAAGCTTCTACTAAGTCCCGCTCCTGGGTAAAACCAGTTTCCCTCTCTGCAGGACCTTACAACTTGGAGATCACAATCCCCTAAGTACGGAAAATGTTTCCCCACCCCAGGCAGCTCAACCCAAGAGCCACAGCCTATCCAAGTCACCTGTGGCAAGAGGAAGCCACTGGAGGGAGGCGAGCGGCCTAGGCCGGGCAGGTCAATCAGTCAGTCCCGACAGTCTTCGGAAACAAAGTTGCGCTGGGCGGGCTCTTTGAAACGGAAAGGGGAAGCCAGGATATCCAGCGGTGCCCAGCCGCTTCGAGGATACTTCGGACCCTCCACGTTGCACTGGGCTCCATCTCCCTTAGTCCCTCGTCAGCTGCCTCTGCAAGCTCTGGGGGCCTCCTCTACAACTGGGGGTGCGCAGCCCAAAGGCGATGGCACGTGAACCCTGCAGACCGCGAGAATTAACTACTCAGCAGCGAAGGATACCCAATCTCCGTCGCCAGGGTCGGGGTGATGGGGGTCCCTCTTGCGGCTCCACATTCTCCTTCCTCCCGAAGTCCCATCAGCCCTGCGTCTGTCCAACTCCAGCATCCCTCCCCGTCCTCCCCCACTCCCCATCCCCGAGCGGGGAGGACAAGGCAAGAGGGCACAGGGCAGTGGCAGTTTCGGGTGGTCCCGCCTGCACCCTTGGGCCAGCCGACCTGCTCCGCCAAGACAGAACAGGAACAGCGACCCCGGGTCTCCGGAGCCACGCGCCAGTGCCGGCCTCCCCAGCTTGTCCAACTTCAGCGAGGAAGCCGGTCGAGTCCAGAAGCTGGGAGCCCAGCCAGGCACCGGACAGGGTGAGGCAGGTGGGACGGGGAGCTGCTCCCGGGGTCTGGGTCATTCATTCTCTCCCGCGCTCGCTCTGCAGCAGCCCCGCGGTCCCTGCCTGCCGGGCGCCCTGCCCCAGCCGGCCTGCGAGTCGCGAGGAACCCAGAGGAGCACACTCTGCTCCCAGCTTGGCCAGATCCTCCCTCGACCCCAATCCCACCATCCTTCTGTTTCCCTTTAGCCCAGATCTGTCCTCTGCAAACAGCTGGCGGGTGGCGGACAAGGGAGCGTTGGCTGGACCCTCGCTGCCGCCCCCATAAGCCGCTCCGCCCGAGCGCGGTCTCCAGCACTTAGCTGCCTCCCTCTGCCGAGCCCCAGACGCAAAGGCGGGGACGCGAGCCAGGGGCCTCCCCTAAATTTTTGTAGCTCTAGACCATCCAAATTGTTCCTCTTCATTAGGGTACCTCTAGGAAACAGATATGCTACATTATAAAAGTAAAAATAAGGACCAGCAGTTAGCATAATGGCTATGTCGCTGGACTCCCATGAAATCGACCGCGGTTTGAGTGCCTGACCCTGTGGCTTTTAACTCAAGGAGAAGAGATTGCAGTTGCTGCGTTGCCATCCCCCCCGGGGGGGGGTGATTTCTCACTTTCTGTCTCTCTCTGTCTTTCCCGCGAGCACATGGCCCTATAGCAAAAACCACTCAAAAAAAAAAAAAATAAGCAGATGAATTCAATTTTATTGTAACTTACTTAAAACCTCTCAAAGTAAAAATAAGCAGATGAATTTAATTTTATCATAATTTATTTAATCCAAGATATAATCATTTTGACATTTAATCAGTATGACATTGTATTTTTGTGTGTATTATTTATTTTATTTTATGTATTTTTTAAAATTTACACTTGATCGTCATATGTCTACAGCATACTATTTTACATTTTAATTTTTTCTGGCTAAGTCATCTAAATCTGGCCTCTGTTTGCACTTACAGTACACCTGAGTTTGAACCCACAGCACTCTAAGTGCTCAGTGGCCAGGTGTGTGCGTGATCCCGCACTGCACAGATGGGAACTGAAGTGTTACCTGTAGGAACTCTCAGCCAGAGGTTTACTGAGACTCGCATCTTGGGAGGCCTCTTCCTTCATCATGCAAAGCTGTTTTGCTCCAGCTGGGGTATTACCTCTGGTCCTCTGGTTTAAAGAGATGATCCCGAGAATGTGGAAAGCCTTGGGATAACATGCAGATGACAAAATTACCCCCTAGCATGTTAGCCATCCATGACCTGTTTTTTTTTTTTTTTTTTTTTTTTTGGAGG